TGTGTTAAGGACAGAAATTGTTGGTCGTAAATCGTCAGGTATAGTTATTGCAATGTTTGATAACGGTAGTGAAAAAGAGTTTTATTAAAAGAAATGTCTATATGAAGTTGGGATTAAAATGTCTAGAGTCAGAAACATTAAGAGAATTTATTCATTTGGAGCAAAAGGATCCTTGGTTACAAACATGTCGCAGAGTTGAAGTCCAGATTGCGAAATATTTTAGATGGAAAATGAAGTCGTAATACAGGCGTTGGAAACAGATGAAATTTCGACGTGTGGATATAGTCGAATGAAGTACAAGAGCGAAATGGAAGCCAAGGGATTAACTGTGATAATGATGTTAATCCTCAGATGCTGAATTTCCTTGTAGAATCAGATTTTTATTGGAATTTCACAAAAGGTTTTGAAAGGTTAAATTCTTCAATAGTAGTTGTAAATACTTAATTTGGATGGTTTCTGCAGATAAAATGTGATGATTTGAGTAAAACGGCTACTTTCGTAAACTTGGTTTGGGGTGACTAAAGTTCTATGTCAGCTGAACTCAGGCATTTCTGGGAACTGGAAAGTTTAGGTATTGAAACAAGGAAGCGGCGTGTTTGACTTTAGTGGAACAGGAGATACTTGATGAATTTAATAATTCTGTGGGTTCGTAGATGGAAGGTATTGTGTAAAGTTGCGTGGAACCAGGTATGCAGGAGAAATTAGCAAATAATAGAGAAGTAGCTCGGAACGTTTTGATGGTCTGGTTAGGAGATTTAGAAATGATACAAGCTTTTTATGAGGATTATAAAGAGTAATTGATGATTATCGTAAGGACGTATATTGAGAATTCGTTGTCAGAATTGAAGTGTCATATTCGAGCAGTCATTCTATTTACCCCACACGCTGTCATTCGCGAGAACAAATCTACTAGTCGACTTCGAATCGTGTTTGATGTTCTTCTCATAAGGAGGAAACTTTCAATTACTACTGTTTTTTAAAGGACTAAACTTGTATCCAAATCTATTTGAAATGATTTTAAAGTCCCGACAAAATACAATCGCCTTCACTGCGGATATAAAACAAGCGTATCTACAAATTTTGATCGATCCTAGTGTGATAGAAAATTACTAGATTCTTCTGGACTGATGAATCGGTTTAATTCATATCAAGAAATGAACTTTAGTAGAGTTTTATTTGGACTAAAAACAAGCCTATATTTATTAGCTGCAACTCTGAAATATCATTTTGATAAACGTAAACGAGAATTTCCTGATACTTGCAAATTACTATCAGACTGGTTTTATGTTGACGATTTGATAGGAGGCGAAGAAAACTTGCAAGCGCCTTTGAAAATTACGATTGAAAGTGTAGAAATTCTCAAAAGATGTGGCATGATATTATGAAAATGGAAAACCAATTCCATGGAACTGCGTAAGCTGTGGAAAGATGCTGAGTTCGACATCGATGAGGAAAAGAGCTCAAGTACGGGACTTGACTCGGCATCCAAAGTGTTGGGTCTATTTTGGGATCCAGATGCGGACAGTATATCTTTCAACGTGAAAGAATTATCAAAGTTTGTCAAGAACGGAACTGCTTAACTGCTTGAAAAAGGTTTATTCTTCTAGTAGTGGGTCGTATTTATGATCCTATCGGATTTCTTGGACCTTTCGTCATTATAAAGCTGAAGTGCATTCTACAAGAACTGTGGAGTCATGACATGGACTGGGATGACAAACTTCCATCGTCACTGGATCACAAGTTTCAGTTGTGGTGCAGTGAAGTCGAACACTTAGAAGATCTCCATATTCCTAGGATGTTATTTTTCAAATTTGAACTCTAAATTTATTTCATTTGAAATTCATTCTTTCAGATTCATCTCTTTTAGCCTATGGAACTGTGTTGTATTTAAGAGCTATATCTGAAGATGGAAGGATAAGTATTACTTTTATTTGTTCTAAAAGTCGTGTAGCTCCTCTGAAAGGTCTTACATTACCAAGACTGGAATTAATGGAAGCTTTATTGTCCGCAAAATTAGTCCATCAAGTAAGTAAATGTCTTAAATTTAATACTTCTAGTTAATTTTGGACCGACACGATGATTACGTTATGTTGGATTAAGGGACAATCTAGTAAATACAAAATTTTCGTAAAAAATAGAATAGAAGAAATTCAATCTTTATCAGATACCAATAATTGGGCTCATTGCCCTGGTAAGGATAACGCTGCAGATATATTATCCAGAGGATTTCTGCAGCAAATTTAGCTACAAACCATCTTTGGTGGCACAGTCCACCATGGCTAAGCCAATCACCTGAATACTGGCCTACTGAAAGAGAAAACTTAAAATCTATAGACGTAGACTTAGAGCTACGAAAAGAATTTGAAAGTACAGTGAAAAATAACTGTTTGGTAGAAAATTCGAAATTTATTTTAGATTTAAGGAAATATAGTTGCTTGTTAAAAGTACTAAGAGTAACTGCACTAGTTAAAAGGTTTGTTAATAAACTTCAAAAACGACAAACAATTGCAGGTCCCCTCACAGCAGAACTTCAAAATGCTGAAATAGACTGGATAAAACATGAGCAAAACATAGAGTTCAACTTAGAATTACAGAACCTTAAAAATGGTAAATCGATTCCTAAAAACTCACCACTTTCGAATTTAGCCCCATTTCTCGACAGTTGTGGTGTATTGCGCATTAAAGGAAGATTAGAAGAGGGAGCATTTACAAAGGATGAAGCTCATCCTATATTTCTTCCTAAGCAGTCTAAATTTACAGAGTTTAATTATTATCGAGAACATAAAAATTTTCATGGTGGAGTTACATTTACGCTAGCCCAAATTAGGTCTAGATTTTGGATTCCACGAGCGGTAGACAAAATTGTAAAAAGAGTATTAGGTAACTGCCTAATTTGTCGAAAGTATAAGTTGAAACCAGCTAAACAAATAACTAGTCAACTACCTAAAAAGTAGAATTACTGAAAACTCTCCTTTTACTGTAACTGGCATAAGATTTCACTGGCCCAGTTTTAATGAAATCAGGAAAGGATACGTCTCAAAAGGCTTCACATAAACATTATTTACATGCAGTGTGACTAGAGCTGTGCACATTAGAATTAATCACAAATATGTCAACAAAAAGTTTTATTTTAGTCATTAAGGAGCTTAATCGCTAGGAGAGGAAATTGTAAAGTTATCATTTCCGACAAGGCTAAGAACTTTAGAGCCACTAATGAAATTCTTAAAGAATTTAGCAAAAATTATAATAGATTCAAAATTAAAAGATTTCATATCAATAAATGGCATAACTTGGCAATATATTGCACCTCACGCGCCTTGGTGGAGTAGTTTTTATGAAAGACTTCTGAAAAGTATCAAAGAACCTTTGAGAAAGGTTCTCGAAAGGGCTCTTCTTAACTTTGAACGAAATGATGACTATTCTATCAGAAATTGAGTTAGTTCTAACTAGATCTCTTACTATGTCCACAATGAAATAAAGAGCCAAAGCTCTCACACCTGCCCATTCTTGTTTCCAGGGCAAGAGAAAATATTTCTTATCTGTACATTTCGCCGACCTTTTCAGGAAATGAACCATTGAACAGGCAGACTTTGACTAGGAGAAAACTGTATCAAACTAAGCTTTTGAAACAAATTTGGAAAAGGTGAAAGTGGAAGGAATTATCTCCTCGAATTACGGTCTGCGCATACTTTTCAAAATCCATCTCCTGAAAGGAATCTTAAAAAGAGTGAGGTTATATTGCTGAAAGGATCGACGAAATCCAAATTTTTATGGCCTATTGGAATTATAGAAGAAGTTTATAAAGGTAGGGATGGGTATGTGCGTTCATGTTTGATTCGTACTTCTCAAGGACTTTATCGAAGACCCGTTCAATTGATCTATCCTTTTGAAGTTTAAAGTTAAATATATATATATGTTTGTGTCATGTATTGTATTAATTTGCAATGTAGTTTTCAGTGTGATTCGTGCATATTGATTTATGATTATATCTAAATATATTATTGATATGTAAATTTAGTGTGCCCTTAACAGAGCACAGGTGGGGTGTGTTGGAACTTTTCATAGTATAGAGGGTGCTATTGCGCCAAAAGAATTCTTCTGTGTTTTAACATTATGTAACTGTGGTCGCCGTTGCGATGTATCTGTATTACTGTGATATATTTTGGTGTTTTCATTAAATATAAATGAAAGATATCGTCATGTATTTTTGTATACCAAATCAAGATCAAAGTTACCACCGATGCAAACTCGTTGAAACAAAACAGCGTTCGAACAAAAATCGCGAAGGGTTATTACTCACCTTTCGAACTATGCATCCGTATCGTTAATCGCTACGTAAGATCTGGTAAGATGGCATGCAGAAATTATAAAATTAAAAATATGAAACCGTAATTTATTAAATAAAGCGCAATTACGATCTAAAGGGTATCAAAATTTACAACAACAACAACAAAAAAAAAAAAAAGCTTAATATTTATTTGTTTACTTTATTAAACATTTCTTTCAATGTTAGTTGTTTAAGTTGCTTTGTTTTTTGTACTAATACTTTCTCTTATATTTATTTGTTTACTTTATTAATCATTTCTTTGAACAAGCACATGCATAAAGCATACGTTACGCATATTCGAAATTAGAAAATTGCAACCAGAAAACTATTTGATATGTATTTATGATATTTATAATGATGAGGAATTTGATTTAAATCATATCAAAGACGGAGTACATCGAGATGAAATACTACATTTAGTAAAGAATTATAAGCCTAATAAAATAAAAACATCTGCCCTGAAGATGAGGATAGTGCTGACAGATCAACTTCCAGTTCACTGCGTGCCACAATGTTATCATTAGGATTATTATTAGGATTTCTGCAGACACAGTTTATTAAAAGTGCTTCCCAGAACATTATTTAAACAATACCCCATTTTATTAACAACTTAGAAAATTATGTTTTGGAACTAGTAATACCTTTTAGAAGACTTATCTGTAATAAACTTTACCTTGTAGAATCCCATTCAGGACTAGAGACACTCGATATACTCTGGCAACTAGAACAAGATGAATAGGTTGCTTCACTGTTAATACCAGGATCGTCTTCATGACGCAAATGTTGAACACGTGGAATTGTCAAAGGTGAACTATAAACAGGATTCAAATTCCATGATGATTCTACTATATGAGCATTATTTTGGTTGTTAGTAGGATAACATCTAGAGGAAGAAGTATCATTTTCTTGACATACTGAATGGTTGCGGATGCTACGCCTACGAGATTGTCTCTTTGTCTTGCGTCGATTAGAGGTATAATCTGACCGAGAATTATTTTGCATGTGACCAGGATGTGTAGGAAATGAATGACTCATTAAACCATGATGGTATGCTCGGGGACTATTCTCTACAGAACTATAGCCAGCTATACGCTGGCCAGGTGGAACAATTTCTACTCTTCGCATAACTTGTCTCATTATTTCTCTCGAAGGAGTAAGATGCTCCCTTGAAGAATTATTGCCACAAGTGCAATCATCATGCAATCTGCTAAGATGATTTTCTAATGAGGAAGTTGTATGCCCCACTAAACCAATACTCTCAGTAGCACAGTAAGAGCAATTTTCTGTTAAAATTTGTTTTGGTGTATTTTGAGACTGGTTCAGAACCATGCTATTTGAATGGCAATGATTAGCATTGGGCATATTAGTCCTTAAGCTATCATCGCTAACAGATTCATCAAAATTTTTATTTCTTGATTCCTGTTGGCTTCTCAAAGATTCATTATCAGTATAAAAATGTATCCTCTCTCTGTTTTGAGCATTACAGAAAATTTCATCACAATCAGAAATTCCAAAATCACCAGAAACTAAAGTCTCAATATCACTCTCTGGTACTTCTGGAGATTTCCTTTGACTTTTATTTCCACATGCATGTTCAAATTGAACTTCAAATTCCACATTGTTTTGGTATTTTTCTGACCTTTTTAAGTCTACTTCATGCTTCTCGTGCATTAATGAATCTTCAGAGCATTCGGGAATACCATTTTCAGGAATCATGATTCCAAAATTGTAAGCGTAAAAGTCATGTATGAACTGTTTACAGTTCTGATGTTTTTTATAATAGTGGGATACACTATTTTCTGTTAATTTTAAAGAGATTTCATCAGTTAAATTAGACTTTTCATCAATTTTGGGCTCCTCTTGGCTGCATAACATTTTTTCAAGAGCATGGAGTTCAGCTTCAGTTAATGTCCACAGCAAATCTCTGTCAAAAAGTTTTGAAGAAAAATTAATAAAAAAGATAAAGAATTTTAAAAAATCATAAATAAAAGTCATAGAATGATTCAAATCTATTTAATAAAGAAAACAAACCTAATTTTGAATAGTAAATTACAAAATGGTCGGAAGAGCTCAGACAGATCAGTAGAATCTTTTTCTACATTGAAGGGTCCATCAGGATACAACAACAAACCCCTAGAAACAAAGTTTTTCTTAGACATTAGTTCAAACTAGAAGAAATGGCAAATATATTTTTAAAAATGAATTAAAAAATTACGAAAATAATACTTCAGACTTTAAAAAAAATATCATTAATTAAAACTATCATTTACTGAATTCGAATATAGATTCAAATGCATTTGAATATAATACAAAATAAAAATAATAGTTATCATTGCTTCAGATGTACAGGGTGATCTTTTTAAAAGTGACAGTGTTTGGAGCGCCCTGTAGCGCGATCTAATAGCCAAAATGGCACCAAACTTGGTATTTAGACTAACGAAGACATGAAAAAAAGGATCCTGTGAAAAAAAATTTTAGTTCCAAAAATTGCCACTAGGGTATTTTGTGGCGCTGCTGTAGCTTATAATAATTAGAATTAACATAAAACACGAGTATCAAAGAAAACTGCAAATGTTGTGCGATGACAGTGCCAGTAATAGGGGCTATGAAAGCAAGTAGTAGACAGCTCCGACAAATAATCTCAACCAGGGGCATAGCTAGAGGGGGCAAGGGGGGGCATCTGTCCCCGGGCGCAGAATCCAAGGGGCGCCAAACTGATGTTACGACATTTTAGAATTAAATGTTTCCATCCTTGGCAAGCAGTAGGGGAGGCGAAATCTTCAATTGTCCCTAGGCGCTGAAAACCCTAGCTACGACTCTGATCTCAACTGAAGTAAACTAGCTCCAGTGTACATGCTTCTCACGTTACCGGAACGTGCGTACTGGTGAAGCCGTATTACATAATCAAAGTATGCTCTGACTCTTTGGGAATTTCAAACCGAAAAATTATGAGGGGCCTTTATCGCTGAATGGTCTACACCCGACAGCACACGCGCTGGGGTAAAATCCACCCCATGTGTAGTCTTTTCTTAGAAAATAAGGAAAGATGGTACATGACCTTTCTAGTACTTCATGTACCTTTCAAGATCAAGGTTAGGAAGGCGGCGTCGAGAGGAATTTTTTCGTGTCTTTGGGATTTTGTGTTTTCGGGAATGACAGTGCAATGGGATTGTAGCTACCCCGCGCGTGTACTAACATTTCACTTCTAGGGAGACATTCATTCAGATGAGTGCGTACGAGCGAGAACAGCAACGACTGCAGGTTCTTCTCGCTAGTGTTGAAACTGATAGCGAAATTGAAGATTCGGATTCTGAGTGCGATAATATTTCTGAAAGTGGCTCACAAAACTGATTCTGACCGAAAACATGATGATTCACATGATTTAGGGAGCATATCTTCTTTGACATCAGATGGTTTTATGTTTGAAAAGATGGAACGATGTAAAGTAAAAAATTACCCTCGAAAAAAGTTCGGACACGGCCGCACAACATAGTGACACATTTACCTGGTGTCAAGAAAAGCTTTAGAAATTTGAAAAATGCAACTGAGTGTTTATTGCAAACTTGTGATAAATAAATAATCGAAGATTTGGTGAAATCAACAAACATTTACATTTTATCAATAAGAAACAAATTCTCTAGAGAACGTTATGCACAAGAGACAAACGTAGCTGAATTGAAGGCGTTTTTTTTTCCTATCATATTGCGCTGGAGTGCTGAGAGCAGCACTTCTCAAAGAGAAGATTTGTGGTCAGCTGACGGAAGCGGAATAACTGTTTTTCAAATAACAATGTCTATCAACCGATTCCACTTCCTGTTGAGGTGTATTAGGTTTGATGACATAAATTTACGAGCAGAGCGAAAGATGACGGCTAGACTTGCACTTATTAGAAATGTTTTTGAAATATTTATCAAAAACATACAAAAAATATATTCTTTATCTGAATATTGTACTATAGACGAAAAATTAAGAGCCCTTTCGAGAAAGGTGTCAATTCAGAAAATGTATAAAAGTAAGCTCCCAAGATATGGATTAAACACTTTTGCTTTGTGCGATTCTCATACGTTTTACGCATACAACCTAGAAATTTATGCAGGTCAGCAGCCTGTCAGACTATATAGACAATCAAATGTGGCATTGGATGTTGTACAAAGACTTATTCCACCCATAAGTGGCACTGAAAGAAATATAACCTATGGACAATTGGTACATGAGCATTCCTTTGGCCAATGAATTATTGAAAAAGCACAAATTGACATGTTTTGGGACACTTCGAAAAGATAAGAGTGAAATGCCAGAAGAATTTCTGCGAAATAAATCGGTTCTTGTTCTATCATCCATGCATGAGGATAATCAAATCGATCCTTTGTATAAAGAGTAGCTCAAGCTCGAAATGATAACTTTTTGCTACTTTACAAAAGGTGATGTTTATACTGTTGATGAGTTATGTGGAACTTAATCTGTTTCAAAAAATGCCGCCGCTGGCTTCTAACAGTATTTCTCGAACTAATGAACATTGCAGGTATAAATGCTTTTATTATTCATCGATCAAATAACGACCAAGTGAATATGAACCGAAGAGCTTTTCTCAAAGATTTAGCATTAAAGCTTGCAAAAGAACATGTCCTAAAAGGGTTGCAATTCTATCTCTCAAATCTCAAACTGAAGTAAAAGATTGGCGAATAGAAGATGCAGTACCTTCACCCTAAGAAAATGTTTGAAAATAGTTGTCACACTATGTGAGGATTCTTCAAAACGAGATTATTTGGAATAAAAAACTCAGGTGTGGGGGGGGGCAGAAAACCTATGTGTTATTATATTTTGTAATACTTTATTTAGAAATCTATTCTTAATATGAATAATTTTATGACATTATATTGAGTTTAAGGAAAAAGTTATAAGATGCGCCTTTTCATATTCCTCTAGTGCTTTATCAAAGCACTCTTTTAAACACTTATGTTTAAAAAATATGTACATATGAAACTGATTTTTATTAAGAAATCATATATGTATCTTATATAGTCAGTCATTTTGCATAAATTTCGATTTTATGGCTTACTTTAGGTAACCACAGGGAAATGTTTGTATACTTAGAAATTATCTCGAATTAAAACTGGAAAAAAGGTTTAACAAATCACCACTATGTCATTTTACTTCATTTTAAACAAAAAATGCTTTATTTATACGTGGGGGTGAACTCCGAAAACAACAGGGGGTAATTTGTCCCGCGCGTTACTACGTAGCTCAGTGAGGGTTGCTGAGGGTAAGAAAATGATTAAGAAGTTCGAGGAAACAGGGTTCACTGACCATTCGCGCTGGGAGAAGGACGTAAACCAGTATCAGAAGATGTAATAACTGATGTGGCAACTGCAATTGTTCCGAAGGGATCGCAGGGAACCATTGCTGGTACTAGCAGCGCCCGGGGTGTAGCTCGACAACTAGGACATGAATTATTCCACGGACATGGAGAGTTTTTGCGGCGCGTTATTGGATTTTACTCGCTACACAAAGTCAGCCTGCTTGCACGAACTGAAACCAAGTGATTATGATGTTAAGCAAGCTTGACATTCGCTCTATCGTTTCTTGCCAGGGTTAGGAAATTGATGATGCTTTCCCATGGCACTTTCTGTGGGGAGATGAGTGCCATTTCTTATCTCAATGGGTCCGTAAACACACAAAATACCCGAATTTGAGCTTCTGAGCAGCCCCACACCGTGCACCAAATGCCATTAAATTCCCCAAAAGTCACTGTTTGGTGTGGTTTCAGAGCCGAATTCATAATTGGGCCATTCATTTTTGAGACCATCGCTTCGACAGGACCACAAATGTGCACTTTAAATGCAGAAAGGTACCACAAAATGCTGCAAGGTGTTATCCAACACTTTAGCAAAAATTGTCTCCAATAGACAATCTTTATGCAGATGGTGCTCTGCCACACTAGAATAAGGTAAAGCAGCTGTTGCGCTAAACTTCACTAATAGAGTCATAGTCGCAGTTTTCCAGTGCATGGCCGCCTCTCCCCTGACTTTGCTGCGATTTTTGGCTCTGGGTTACTTGAATCTCAAGTTTATGTGGCGAGTATCAAATTGTCTATCTAAGGAACGTAACACAGACGTGCGGAATATCCTCGTGATATGTTACATAGGCTGTGAAGAAGTTGTGCACGAATGCCGGTTATTTCTCTGAATAGTGCTCCTTGAATATGATGTATTTTTTAGGGGAAGTTAATAGTAGTAAATAACATAATATTTAACTGTAGGTTGTATTCTGAGTCCATTCTTGATTAGTCTAAATACCAAGTTTGGTGCCATTTAGGCTATTAGATTGCGCTACAGGGCACTCCAAACACTGTCACTTTAAAAAAGATCACCCTGTACTACTGACTTTCAGTTTAACACTCATCTACTGCTTAAAGCAATTTTTAATATCACTGCATCGTCAGAGTTTGCAGTTTCGTTTGTTTTAGGCATAATCACTCGAGGACTGTTTGCCTAAGGGGAGGGATGTCTTCGTGGAAGGGAAATGGGCTTGTATACAATTTACACACAGGGAAAAACCATGAAAAAGCTCATGCAACTAGCCTATTTGCAGGCATTTGAACTCAGAACCAAACTACCACTAGTGGAACAGCAGAATTTGTGAATGCCTTCTTTATGGATCCAAAAACATAATATATGTACATAAATCTGACCACAGCAGTTCCAGCAAACCAAACTCAGTGATTTTTCTTCAAAATATGTACAAAATGTGAGAAAATTCTATTTAGAGCAGCATGCCTCTAAAAGCATGCCCAAGCAGTATGCCTCTAAAAATGTATATGTATAATTTTGGTGAAAGAAATATACAAAATTTTTTGCACTTTTTTAAAAACCCAAAACTATATCCCCACCTCCCCAAAATTGAAGATATTGTTGATGTTTTATCGTATTTTCTACATGTTGTTTTTGCAAAATTTATATAAATCTAAACAAACTGTGGGGGAGGGGAGTCTTCATAGTACTTTCATTCTTTACTTTTACGAATATTATGCGAATTCTAAAAACTCTGGAAAAATATTTACACAGAATATCTATTCAATTTTTTGCATTTTACATTTGTTACTCTTTTCCTTCAAACAAAAAAAGGGGGGAAATCATGTTAAAAATAAATAAATGAAAAATTCCAACAT